ATTTTACCCACCTCGGAAGAATGGAGGACTGAGTCAATATACAATACCCTAAGTGCTATTGCTATTAGCAGCTGACAAGATGTTTGTTCTTTAGCATAGAAAGGGCTTGTAACAGATTCTGGGGGGGGGGGTGTTTTTAGTTCCTCTATGCTATTTCTTCATCATAGCAGGTACTTGAAGAATACCATGAGGAGAAAATAGAACAGTAATCTTTTGCATGGAAGGACTATGGAAACAAAGTAGAGAAGGGCCCTTGGTGCTCTCTGAGATTGCTTGTTTTCTTACAGATGTTTCATTACCCAAATTAGGTCACATTATCAGTGAAAGACTAGGCCAGTGACTAGCACTGTTGATGTTATCTAGTTTAGATAATGAAACATCTGCAAATAAACAAGCAAGCTCAGAGAGCACCAAGGACCGCCTCATGTCAATCCTGAGCTATACATATTCTCTTTTTATTAGAGAGTGAGAGAATATGGTTGAGGTAGTTTACTTTTCTGACATGGGCAGAATTAAATACGTATATTATTGAGGGATATTATAATTTTATCATAAATATATCATAAATCATATTTCAAATTAAAATACATTATATTCTGCCAGAGTCTCAAAAACCAAGTAGGATCCCATTTGTGTGCTATCTGCATTTCCTTTGGGGGAAAATGCACAGGTGTTCTCATTTGCTCCTTTGACCTAGTTATAACTTTGGTCACTAAATGAAAGGTAGTCAAGGATTACCTGCATTCAAAAAGCTCCTATAACAGTTCAATTTTATGGGGTTTTTTAAAAATAGGGTTATCAACAAGTCTTTTTTTCTTCATTTAGCAATTCTCTATGTACAGCCGAGTACACACTGAAACTTGGTGTCTAAAAAAACCTATTTTGAATATAGCCTTACAGATTCTATTTTAAAACAATGACTAAATATACACATTATGTCGTTTCAGTCTCCTCCTCTCCTCCTCCAACACACTCTGTACAATTTAGTTTTATATTCCATATGACTTGAAGAATTCAGAATTTGAAAGTTTTTCACTTGGTCTTGTAATCTATAGTAGAATTGGAAGAGCTAATTCCTATGCTGTTGTTTCACATACAATATGATATCTCCCCTGATAATATTGGCTACTGATGGGGTTGTGCTTTATATACAGAGTATGTTATTGCCCATCCCTGAAAATATTTTATTTTCACTGATCTGTACCAATTCCCAGCAATTTTCAATGTAGTCATCAAATAAATTAGAATAATATTTTATTATAGCATACTAGAAATAAAAATATAATTCTATAAAAGTATTCAAATCAAAAGAATCAAAATAAATGAACAAATTTATGGCATCATTACATATTTCAAAGGTTCTCTGTTTTCAGTGGTTTATGAGAAATTAGTTACATGAAAGCTAAGTGAATTTAAAATATTTTTAGAAGCCAACAGAACACTAGCACAACTACTGAAGTTTCCGCATGGTTTTCAAAGGCTGAACATATATATCATCATTCACGTTTTCTAAAATAGTCACAACATGCATATGGAAAGCATGGGATGTCTATTACAAAGTTGCATTCTTCATTTTTCTAATTTTCCAATGGATGCCCCGGCTCCTTCCCTTTTAAAAATGGCAATAAATCTAGACATTATAACAGCTGTGATAATTTAAATAGGAAAAGATAACAATTTGTACCAGGCTTAGATTACCGTATATACTCGAGTATAGGCCGACCCGAATATAAGCCGAGGCACCTAATTTTACCACAAAAAACTGGAAAAGTTATTGACTCGAGTATAAGCCTAGGGTGGGAAATGCAGCAGCTACCGGTAAATTTCAAAAATAAAAATAGATACCAATAATGCCATTGCCCATAGGGGCTTCGAGGGGAGGAGCTGCCGCCGTCGGGAGCT